TTACGCAAAGCGCCAACTTCAGTTTATCTTTGCTGCCGCGCGTTTTTCCGTAATTTACCCCCTTTTTTTCGGCGAGGATAAAACAATTCGTGTTCGCGTGTGCGTGAGGGCGTCATAAAATTCCGGGGGTAGCTTTCGCCGTCTGGCCATCGCGGCCGCAATCGCGAAACAAAAACTTCATCTGAGAGAGAGAAGCTGAACCGGGCGTGAGAGTAGGAGAATACAAAAAAAAGTGAACGAGAGAGAAGCTGCAACAAGGCATATAATAATACCTGCACGCTACAGCTTAAACTTTCATCAATCTTCTCGCTAAAGAGAAAACGTTGTTTTCCCTCCGCACGACTTGATTTCTTACTTGAAGTGCGCCGAGTAATTTATTTGCACACGGGCGCGCAGCACCTTTTCGCTCGCTTCCAGTAGTTCGAGCTCGTAGCTGTAGCACAATACACCGCGCGCTCCAAGATTCCAAGAGCGTATAAATATTAGCATTGCTTATAGCGACGACTGCTGAATATACTCGCGCTCGATGCACACGTTCATACACTACGTACGCACTTTCGTATATATATATTCATAAAGCCCGAGCCGTTACATTTATACGATACGCATGTCTCTCTCTCTCTCTCTTTCTATGTACTCGAGTGTTGTGTATGTGTGTGGCAGTCGTCTAAGCACGTTTTACGAGACATAAACGCAACGTGCGTATAGACACTTGCCGTTTTGATGCAGATTTGCGCTCGTGAACTAAAAGAGGCCAAGATATACCCCCCTCGCGCATATACATAGACTTTTCGAAGTCACGCGATGCACCCCGCGCGCTCGCGTCCGTGTATACGAGCTGCGAAGTCTGAAGTTTCCGCGCGTAAACTTTATTCCTCGCGCTCGCGCACACGAGAGAGAAGGAGAGAGAAGGAGAGAGAATAATACCAAGTCAAATTTTAACACCCCTAGCGGCATCGTAAGTTTTACAGAAGGATGAAAACAGATAAAGACTGCGCGAGCTCGTGCGCGCGCGCGCGGTCACAATAGCCGGAGATTTTTCCTCGATCTGAGTGTGCGATTTTTTTTTATGCACTAGCTTTTTGCCTCATACATATTCCAAGTAGCTCTGGTGGTGGTATTGTAAGGCAAAATTGATGCGTCGATGATTAGGGGATTTTTCGACCCGCTTCGCGTACTATACTGCGCGCAGAGAGTGCGAATCGAAAAAGTTACGTAATAAAAACGACGCAGAGCGCGGCGCGTGCAGCGCGCGAGCTTTGAATACAATAACTGCGATACGTGATATAATTCCGCAGGCGGAGACGACATGCGTGTTTGGCACGTCGCGAGCTATAACTCGCCAATAAAATCGTCTCGCGTAAAAAAAAACTCGAACAGTTCTTTTGTCGTCTATACTCGATGAATACGTGTGCTCGTGCGACGAGAGTGTGTATATTCTCAACGTCTCGCGTAATCATCATTACGAACGGAGCAGCAGCAGCAGCAGCATCGATCTATAGTCTTTCATAAATTGCATACCATATATATACCGAGTTCTATGCCAGAGATGACTCTCGTCTATCCCTATTCCTTGCTTTCTACGCTTGATATTTCTCAAATGATTGCCATTAACCTCGATTCCCTCTGGAGCTCTCTTTTTTCATAAATAATACGACGCGTCGTATTATCGCAAAGGCAAAAAAGGACGTATAAGAGATGTGTGGTCCTTTACGTCATGTGCGCGCCTGTGTGCGTGCTTGTGTGTACGATATAACCATAAGGTCTATCCAACAAGTCTGACCCCGCACTGCCGTTACTACTGACGCTCTAAAAAGACCTTTGAGACACACATCTAACTGATGTATAACTGCCGAGCGCGTATATAAACTTACCGATTGAACGAAAAGAAAAACGAGCTGCTTCTCGTCTCTGGATATGTGTACGTATATATCTGTATGTGTGTATGTGTTCGTGAAAAAGAGTAAAGTCGTCGCAGTAGTAGCCGGAAGGAGTCTTGAGGAAAAGAAGTAAGATGTCGTCGTCGTTCTCGATGTCCCGTAACTTTTCCACAACGTCGCTCTCGATCTTCGTGCACATACACACACACACACACACACACACACACACACACTAACACACACACTCGTACTATATGTAGCCACTGCTACACTGCTCCGGGTGTAACGAGCGTGAATAGAAAGAGAAAGAAAAAAAGTCCGAGAAAGAGAGGAACGGGGAAATAATCGTCTCTACCCCCGACCAACTATAGGTATACCAGCTGAATGTCAATTTTTAACGGGCGTACAGGGCGTGTCGCCATGTGATAGCGCAGCTCTCTATATCGGCGTGCACACACACACACATACATGGACGAGGAGCGCGCGTTAGACCTCCGACACACAGATGCACCAAGCTCGAGTTATGTATAGGTATAGCCATAGCCAGGCTGCAGCCAGAGAGCTTGCTTGCAGCCGGGGGTTTTGCCAGTGGTAAAGAAGATTTCGACTGCAATTGAATTTCGTTTCTTTTTCTTCCCTCTCTCTCGCTCTTTTTTTCTTTATCTTGTCTTGAAAATACAAGAAAACTTGAGGGAGGGCTTGTATATATACGTGGATATATGGGATCATGGCACACGTGGCTAAAATGTTTGTTGCTATCTTGAGTTTCTCATATTGCCAGTGCAAGCGAGTTCGATGTTGTTCTACTTTGGATGATACTGCCGCGTTGCCGATACTTTTTTGCAAGCGACAGGGCTCTAACCGACTTGGATCAAGTAATTTCGTTCGATGATCTTTTTTAGCTACGAGTTCATATAGCTGCATTTTTTGGGATGATATTTGATCCCTCGTCTCGATCGATTTCACTCCCCTTCTATCAAGGTTGACACACCGTGGCAACAAATATACATTTGTGAATAGCCGATTGTTAATTTTAAAAAGAGTTTTTTCTTTCAACTTTCACAGCAATCACTATAAGAGTAGAAGTAGTAGTATAGTAGTAAGAAACAATCTCTGTAGAATCTTAAAACTCTCTTTTACATTGAATGAGATAAATAAACGTAATAACCGAGTCATCATGACGATCAGTAGCAGCAACACAGCAGCAACAACAGCAGTAGCGCAATTTGTTGTCGTTTTTTTTCTGTGAAACGCTGCTCCATTGTATTTCATCGCTATACACAAGTTTCTTTATTCGCCGATCTAATCGACGCTTGCGCTCCAGCGAGTCTTGGACGTTCGTTAAACAGTCTCTTGGAATGTTTTCCGTTTTATTCTCTCTCCTTCCCTCCTCTCTCTCTCTCTCACTCTTGGGTGAGCTTTTATCCTCTACTGCGGTTCAAGAGCTTTTGTAAGACTCCTTAATCGCGTTCCAAGTTGTTTTGTTACTTTACTACGGTAACCTTCTTTATTTTTCTCGACACTGTTTGCCTGTATACATATCTCCCGAAGAGAAGCTCCGAGTGTTATTTTTTTCTTCCTTTTTTTTGTATACTCGTTATTGTAAAACTCGTAAGTATTTTACACTAGGATGAGTTAACGTTCGTTTACAAACGAGCTTATGTACCTCGGAAATTTTGTATTACGTTTTATTTTAATGATCGAATTAAGAAAATTATTCCTTTCTGAATAATATTCCTCTTTGTTAGAGTCATCAAAATAATCAATGCAACTTTATTAATGAATTATTTTAATATTCATGAGGATTTACCAATCATAATGTTATTTATATGACATACGAGTAAATTAGTTTTTATTGACGATGAAACGGAATACACAACTAAATTCGTGCATTTTCTCGTGTGGAATTCGGGCAAACTTTGATAAAAGTTTGTTCGGTGTACACACGCACACACATGCATCTAAAGCCATTAGTTTCTCTCCGATCTTTCAGACCTTTTTTATTCATTTGCATTGCGGTTTATCGTAAATAACGCGTACACGCTCCTGTGCCAGGAGAGCGACCAGCCACGTGTGCTGTACGACGCTTATTTTTGTGTATATATGTGTGTATGCACATGTATATACGATTAAAAATTACCATACCAACATCGTAAATTATGAACTCAACATTAGTTTGTTGCGGAGGTCTTGTGTACGTATCTGAAAAGTTTCGGAGGAGAGGAAATCCCTTGATGTGTGATTTTTCAAAAACAAGGATGGAAGCCAGAGATGTGAACATTTTACTGAATAAATAACGCAGGGCACTGTGGCGCACGAGTGCGTTATCGCAATTGTTATTAATTTTTCGTGTTCGTGGGCCCTTCGCGATCATTTTTCTTTTTTTTGACAAGTTGTATCCGATTGTTTATGTATCAACCGCTTGAAACAATTAATTTACAATACAAATATCTTTTTTGATTTTTTTGTGTTTATTTTAAGAAAAACTCTATGTTTTAGTTTGTTTTATTCACAGAAAAAAGTACCGTTAAAATAAAAGTATTAAAAATATGAACTTACGTTTAATTTATATGTTAAAAAAATATATACTAATGAATTCATATTTTTCTGTTTCATGATATGCTTGCTGACAATTGCAACGACTGGTGAACGGATGTGTTGAACAATTTTTGATCTGACCACAATAAATTTCACTGGAACTTTTCGATGGCATCGATAAACTCTTCAATCAAAAACAAACTTCGATCTCTTTTCATGATTTTTTTCGTCTCATTATTTCGTATTTCAATATTATTTAAAATATCCGCAACAATGGCTTACATTTACGACATATTTTTCACAATCAATCCGTTGGATTTTTAAATAATTTTCAATCCGTGCAACGTATCCAACGCAACGCTTGTATTGTAATTGGCGTTGTATTTTTTCCTATACTTCATCCTCTTGCTACGCGTCAAATCAATACATTTTCTACGCTCGACATTCACGTTGCTCTCTGGAAAAAATAAAAATTAAAACTTGACCATTCGTTATAAACTGACTTTTCTGCATTATCCTTGATTCATTCGTGACTATTGTCGCTTGTTGGATTGAAAAAAATAAACTCACTCACGTACGCAGCTCTGCTATCGGGTACGTTAAAGACGTTTCAGCGCGCCTCGTGTAACGAGGAATTGATGACGCTCAAGTGCCCAATCGGTACGGCCATACTGGTGACGGTGGCTCGTTACGGTCGAGCGAGCCTCGACAGCGGAACTGGCAAGTGCAGCACCACCGACCCCATGATCAGCGATAATCTACTAAACACGACTTGTCTTTGGCCAGCTGGATTACAGGTAAGCTTGTCTTTTCACACTAAAATTTCCTCTAGTTGTATCATATCGGTGAGAATATGAGCATTGACGGGATGCCTTTATTTACGAATAAAAATACTCAAACAGGGTCCAAATATACTTACTGAAAGATTGTTTTAGAAAATAACAATGTCAGAGGCTAAAAGCTTAAAGGACTGATGAATTTTGAGGGCAAGCAGCTTCTTAGCTTAGCTATTTATTTAGCTATTTAGCTTAGCAGCAAAATAGATCGATTTTTTCTTTATTCTTCTTTAATAATATACGTTTAAAATCCAATTGCTTTTCTTTCTCTAACCGATCGCATTTGTATTCAGCTTGCAAATTCCTCAAATGACATTACGTCGCATCGCATCATGAGGCACAAAAGGGCTATAATCTAAAAATTGTCCGTTAATTTCACGGATCGATAGCATGCGGCATTTTGTAAGAAATAATAAAATAAGAAAAAGGAAAGGGAGTTGGAATAGTTCTTCTTTCTGCGACGACTAAAGCATTTTTGAACTTTTTATCAAAGAAATCTCATATAGGTAGCAGGTAGCGAGCAAAGCACCCGCAGTTTCTGGTAATGTGGTTTCGCATTCCGCCAGTTGATGCTATCGTTTTTCGACGGTCCGGTTCACCCTTTTCTTCCTGCTAGTTCTCTTAAAATGTAGTCTTTTATGTTTGATCATTGCTGTTTCTGTAATTCAAAGGCTGTATGTATAAGAATGCAATCATTTTAGATGGTTGAAACTTTTTCGGCATTTTTAACAATTGAAAAATCAATCGGGTTTGAACGAGTAATATTTATGCAAAATCGTATTGAGAATATAATAGTTTTCTAATGTTACTTGCTACTATACTACTTGAATATTACTTGCTTCAATATTAGAAATTACTATTACCTTGCTTTGTTAAACTCTATACTCTGCATTCTATTTTATAATTGTGGTATGTATTAATTGCCTGTACCCTTATTAGTACCCAATACACATTAATATACATGATTTTGATAAGTCAACTCATACATCAACAAATATATGACAAGAAATCGATATTCGTTTTGGTGCTATTGATTGATGTAATAAATTAATATACCGCACATTGCGTTTATTAAAAATTAATAGGAAAATCATGCATTTATTTAAAATCGAATTAATAGGAAAAAAGATTTTGGTTACAACCAAAAGTATTACGCTAATATCGTAAAATTATTTTCAAAATGTGGCGCTATATATTCAAGCAAACGGTAGAACAGAAATCGTTGAAAAGCAATGTATTCAATACTCATACCTGTCCACGGCTTGCTTGTTATTACTTTGTTATCAAAAGACTAAATCCAATAGGTTCGAGTTCCTTTTGCTTACTTTTCGCCTTTCTTTCATAATCTTCAACTAATCTTCGCGTAATACCCACCTGCACGCGTCGACTTGAAAGGTGCCTTTTGCTCGATTCATTCTGAACCCAAATGAAACTGTAAGATTAACGCTTCGTGATATGGCTGCCGAACACGCGCTGCATAATCTTCTTCGCGAATACGTAGGCCTATTACCAGCTGCTATATTGCGCATTCAACAGTCGCGTGGATATTATCAGAGTTTAATTAATTCGCGAATAATAATTCTACGGCAATATCGCCATATGTTTAGAGCTTATACACAGTTTATTACGAACTTTGCTTCATATCGGGGGATAATCCGATGAGGCATATATCAATAGTGCCGCGCTATTACGCTTGGATGTTTGGCTCTGGGCAACGGAAAGGGCGCGTGGAATGCGTTTCAACGATTAAAACTACGGAGGAAACAGCGCGTTCTGTATGTATGCGCACGGCGCACTGACCAATGGCAATAATTGCGATGATTGTTGGCGCGAAAGAAATTTCGCTCGCGTTCCTTTGCTCTCGGCGTTCCTTGGATACGAGAAGGGGGCTCTATATGCTGCGAGGACAAACGAGGCCATAATTCGAATTTAGTGCGCTGCTTTTGCTGCTCCTGTGCCATGCGTCATCGTGAATAAAAGAACAGGGATAGTTGGCACTTCATCCGTAAACGCCGTATAGCTTGTGCACAACGTCGTTCATGGATATGGGCTTTAACCGCGTAACGGCCCAGCAATGCCTGTGCTGCGCAGACTCTTCTAAGGCTGGTGCGCGCCCTGTGCAGCAGCAGCAGCTGCAGCATCCACCCCAGTTCCGAGCTTAATTTTTTCGCCCAAAGAGTTCGGAGCTTGCTTACAAGGACTATACGTGGCGCCGTAATTTTCGATTTAGGATGTTGGCCACGTTTCATTATCTCGGCGTCGTAAGTTTTTCCGGGCTGCGACGCAGATACAATCGAACCCGGCGCACGGTCAAATTATAAATCAGAGTCATACACACACTTATGAGGTCGAAGGAAAAGTAGTCAGCGATGGCAATCTCTCGACTTCAATGGGAGGGTAGGAGTTCGGAGAGGAAGAGAGAGAGACACACACGGAGAAAAAAGGGAAAAAGGAAAGAAGCGAGCAACCACACCGAATCTCATCCGATCTCTCGACAAGTTGAGCGTGGGGGCGAGTATATACGAGAAGAATTGAAATTAATTCGAAGATATCACTGCAGGAAAGAACTCTCATTCAGCTGCGCGAACTGAAGCCGGTATAGATGAGGAGCCGCGATTACGTTTTCTCTCTTTTTCTTGACTCGCAGAGCGAGCCTTACGTCGCTGCGCACGTGACCTTTTTTACGAGCCAAAAGGGCGGAAAGAAGAAGAAGGCTTTAGCGCACTTCACATCACACATAATATTAGGGACCTGAGCTCTCTCTCTCTCTTTCTCCTCTTTTACTGTCCTAAAAATAAGAAATATCCTATTACGTGTCTACGCGTTCCACTTCTCCGACGAGTTTTATATACACAGTTCAACGCGAGTAGCAGTACGCATACCTTTATATATTTATACGTGACTAGCAGGCGCTGCTATTACTGATGCTATTTCCGCGTGTTGCAATCTTACTGCGAGCACTCAAACAAAGGCTGGCTGCGGATTATGCTTTTCGCGCGAAGAGAAGTCGAGTTTTCCGTGCAAAAATGAACTTGTTACACGTGCCTTCGTCATTAGCATGAAAAATTAAGAGACCCGTTTTTTTATCAATTGCAGTCAGTATTGAACAAGCCAAACATTTTTCGCTATTGATTGGATTCGTCAATGCCGTAAAATGACCAGCTATGGTATTCAATGTGCCATATTTAGTTTTCAACTGGCAGTCCGAATTTGCGAAACTATGAGTAATTTGCTAAAGTGACTTTTATTGCGTTATAATGACTGCCTTATTTTCGTCATTTTCAGTCAAATCATTTAATTGGGCGCCTTAGGTGTAACACACTCCAACTGATTATAATGTATAACTTTTATAGAAAATTGTTCAATCAATTGATATCATAAAACTAATAGCATGAATTGCGCAGCATTCTCTGTTACAGACGGTCGTCGAAGTGTGTCAAAAAAAGCGGCAGTGCACATTTAATACGAATCAAAAGGTTGGAGATCCGTGTCCAGAAATGCCCAAATACGTAGAAGTTCTTTACAAGTGTCGTCCATGTAAGTATACAAACCTTTTTACTTCCAGTGTTGTTTTATAAAATCGAACGTTGCGATCGCGTCGATTCATTCGTAGGTTTTACTACTTAAAATTAAAACTGAAACAAGCGGCTGAAGCTGATATGCAAAGCCCATTTGGAAAATCCAACTTTCCCATTAGCAACTTGTTCGATAAGCCTTACAAGCTGATAAAAGTACGTAACAATTGTTATTGGAACCTTGATTTATGTGGATGTACGCAAAATAAAACTTCATGAATTGTAAAAATTGAATTTTTCTCTCTTAATTTAAATGAAAATGAGGTATACATTCGCTAGAGTGCGTCACGTTTTTGAACTAGTTTTTACGCAATGCATTGTTATCAGAGTGGTTACATATACCTTAAGATTTTTCTTTCCGTTCGAGTCGAGAATTTTTATGACACCTACAATAAGGATCTATTCTCATTACTGATGCCGAACTGCATGCAAAAGCGCGCATACCATGACGCTATTTCGCATAAAAGAACTTCAGCATGTAGACTTGCAAATTGACAAATTTACCTAAAATTATGATGTATGAGTATGTTGGTTAAAACTTTTTTTTGCTACAGCACTATTCATACAATATATTTTTATGTATTTAAAAAATAAGTTTGGGAATAATTATTAAAATTTTCATAAGTAGTTTTGATCCATTATATATCTGAAATAAAATGTAGAATAATTCAGATTAAAATTAGAACCTGTTAAGTCAAGTTTGATATTAAAAATAATAGTTAACTTTAAATTTGACAACGAAAAGTGAAAGGTTCGTTTTTTTTGTTTTCTATTAATTTTCTGTTCATAGAGATATCAAAGTCAGGCTAAAAATGAAAATTTAAAAAGTATCTTCTGAAATAACAGATATTATTTATTGCCCTTAAATATTACTTAATTCAATAGTTAATTGATTTAAATTCAATTTATTCTTATACTTGATTTCAAATTATTAAATTGAAATTAACTTATTCGAATATCAATGTATTTTTTTTATTTAGTCTCTCTTAAATATTTTTCAGTTAATTGTACGTTTTTGTTATATAGATTCTGAATAAACAATAGCCTTCTTAACGACTGCGTGTAAAAAAAAAAACATGCAGTTCACAATGTGTCTGTTTGGTCTTACGTGTGCAAAGTTGTGAACAACTTTTTCACCATTTCGATCAAACGCAAACGTCCGAATTATACAAGTTGCCCGAGTACACTCAATAGCACAATAACTTTATTAATTGAAATGTCATATTCCTCTGTTTCTCTCTTTTTCTGTCTCTGCGATAGACTTGCACGAGCTAGGTTGCAAGTGGGGTAAAAAAAAAAAAATTGTGACACGCGGCGCATTTTTCTATATGTCATTTTGTGCGCGCAAAGTAATTGCCGAATAGTAAAAAAGTTGAACTTTCAATTCCCTGCCGTGCGATAAACGTGCCATGTACCGGCCGCGCCGATCGTATCGACAATTCATGATGAAGCGACGACGCTCGACGCGCAATCAACAATCGCGAAAAACTCGACGCCGTATTGAATATAAAAATGTGCGTCTCACGTGGCAAAAATCATTATTCAACGTTTCTCGATCTGCCACGCGAATGCGCGCGTACAGATGTGTATATGTCCGTTGTTATACACGCGCGAAAGCTCGACAATTGACGCGTCAGTATGAATCATTACTCTTTTAATTAAGTTCCGATGTGTCGTACAAATTTCAGCGCACTAACACGCGCATAAAATCCATACGTATTATAAAGATGCATCGACGTAATTCGGCTCGACGCGCAATCTCTTATACGTATACGCTCGTCTATCCGTGGGCCGCAGCTCTGTGTGTGTGTGTGCGTGTGAGTGTGCATAAGCAGTTGAGTAATGAGACAGCTTGCGACACTAATTACGCTAGCGATAGATCATATAATGTACATGTTAGATGCTCATCGTTTGTGCTGGCGCAAACTCTCGCTCAACTCGAGGAGGTTATATATTACATGTACACACTGCGCACTAACACACAGACGCAGACACAGGCGTATGCACAAACACGGAGCAAAGCAGTACAGCTCGAGCTGGCACGGTAAGTGCGAGCAAGAGGAGGGAGAGAGAAATCCTTATCATACGCTCAACTTGCATCAAACATTCATTTATATGTGCGTATAAACTTTCTTAACAAGCCCTACACAGATAGGTAGTGGAGGCAGGCCTTGACAATTAATACACACAACTCGACGGGCGTATTTCGGTCGGATGCATGTGTGTGTGTGTGTGTATGCTAAGTAGCAATAAGTAACACGTGTTGTGTGTCGGCAAATGAATTTTCCGAGTCGTTCGGCTGCGCTGTGTTATACTACTCGGGCTGCGCACAGCTACACCGATCTGTATGCTTGCCAGCTGGACTGCTGCTATGCACGGCCATGCACACACACACACACAGACACAGACATGGAACGAGGCCGCACGTGTAATCGTTCGGACCGACCATTACACCTGGGAATATAATCGCGAATGTCTATACGCGCGCGCTACGCTATACCAGCAGCCGCCCTCCCCCGCGCTCGTTCGTTCGCTCGCGCGCTTAATACGATTAATTCATGGCTTTAAAGCCCGAAGAGTATCTCGTAGCGCTCTCGAGTATAACTGGTCTCTTCTGTTGCTCTTCCCAACAGCAGCAGCGGCGGCAGCAGCGCCGGCTACCCCGTGGCTACGTCTTTATGCAACGAGCCAAACCGAGCGCTTAATTATGCAGATTATCTGATGAGATCCAGCGGCATCAGGCTCGAGATTATTCAACAAGCGTACGCGTGTAAAACTTCACTCGCCGGCTTTCATTTTCTTCACTGTTTACGTTCGCATATTTGTCCATGTTCCGCGAATTTTATTGCTCTACACCTGAAGCTTTTGAGGGTGTAAATCAATATAAAAGCCACCGATGAATAAATCCTAACAAAGTTTCCCAGCCCGTCGATGAATTCGTGAATCGATGCGTTTTATCGTTAAAAATAAAATTAAAAATAACATTGTTTAATCCTCGTGCATACCTGATTGGTGGTTTGATTCCTACCCAATCTGTGAAGCTTATTAAAACTTTTTTTCATAATCAAGGTGATAATTAGTGACGCTCGCACTAAGATCGGAGTAAATTGTTACTGCTCTTAGGGCCTCGATACGATTTACGCAGAACCAAGCGAATCGACGATTGCTTCGCCTCAAGCTGTTCTTCCCACGCTGCCTATGATGTACGCGCCCGATGAAAAGTTCCAAGTCATTAATAATCTCGAGTTAGTTCGCTCTCTCACCCTACTTGATATGCCGCAAGCACGAGCTAGCTAGCTAGCTACCTACCTGCAGCTATACGGTGAATTATTCCTCGTAGTTTCCGTAATGTTAAGCTTCTTCATATTCTTGCGGCCCCCGAGAGTGTATACGCGGGCGGCTACAAGCGCAGGTATATAATATAGATACGCGCGCAAGCTGATTTACTCGAAAAAGTTAAACCACTGAATCGACACGGTCTTAGCTTCAGCGGGGCTGCTTTGCATTTTTCCTTCGCTCCAAAAAGAGATGTAAAGGGCTTTTTTTACAAACGCGCGGCGAGATGTACGCATACATAACTTTTCGAAATCGTCGTGCCGATTTTTTTGCCTTTTTTGTATTATGTGCAGTGTGCATCGCGCGGCATATGCTTGACCCCATCCTATCTTTTCGAGAGATTCGCAAATTTATTCCGAGTAGGAGCGAGAGGAGGAAAAAAAGCGACGACGCTTCAAGTGTTGAATTCACGAAGCGTATACATCTGCGTTAGCGCTTAAAAGTTTTTCAACTATAAAGTCAAATGTTTCTCTTTGTATGTGTGTGTGTGTGTGTGTGAGAGTGAGTGTGAGTTTATACGTGTGCATGTAGCAGCCTGTATACAAACATTTAAATTTGCTTTCAGACGAATTTCGCAGCAAAGTGGCATGCGAAAATGAGGCCATCAATCTGTCCTGCTACCCAAACTACCGGGTGGCAATCTACAGTGCCTCGTTCGGAAGAACGGAATACGAGTCTCTACAGTGTCCGCAGCCAAACGGAGTCAAGGACGAAAGTAAGTGTACACACACACACGTAATATAAGCACCACCAGTATACGAACAGCCTGTGGCGCGGCCAAAGCGGCCCCTATTAGTTAGCCGCCCTCCATCGTGCAGTTCGCCATCTACTTTTCGTATTTCACCAGGCTACAGATGTCTGCTCGTGACCGGGAGGCAAACAAGCCCGTCGCACCGTAATATATAGGTATCGGGCAATTTGACTCGATGAATTTTTATTCGACTCTCGCTTGATTTAAAAGCTTAATATTTTTATCAAGTCTGTCGCGCTGCATAAAGTATAAATAACGCAAGCGCAAGAGCTCGCCACTCAAATCTAATTAACTCGAGGTGGTGAAAAGTGATTCGCTCAAGTGAGAGCGGGAGATGAGAGAAAAAGGGGGATGGGAGCGATGAAAAGTTAGCCGGAAATATTAGACGAACTGCTCTTTCCCTCTCTCTCTCTTTTCTTTTTTTCTCTCTTTCTTACTCTTGAGTTTTTAATAAAACAACCTCATTTATCTTGCTACTTGTTTTGCTTGCCGGCAAGAGGTCAAAGGAAGCGGAGCGCGCGCCGATTTATAACTTCTCGCCGCTCGCGCGCACGCGCGCGCGCATGATGAATATTAGAAAAAATAACACTTGAACGTGCGCGAAGAATACGCGGATTATCTATAACGAGACTGACGTTGGCCAAGGCTAACCTTACGTAACAGATGTTATGGAGATTAAAGGGAATTTTTCATTAAAAAGTTTGAACCTTTTGAGCGAGTGGTGAGCTCGTATGCTCTCGTGCTCGTGCTATACGCGTACAGGCCTTTGGTCTTTTTCTGCGGACAGCGTTGACTTTTCCTTACCGCTCCAGTAACTTTTATTCGTTCGCCGCGTCATCTTGACTGGATCGCGCGAGCTCGAGGATTTTAAACCTCTTATACGTTTCACCGTCTTCAAAACTTAAGCTTGACACAACTTGTGTGTGTATTGCTCTGTAGTCCGTCTCCCTTTTTACGCGTATAATTTTCCAAGTGTTTTTACGACTCTTGCGCGCTTTTCGTATATACAATAACCACGCGAGCGCGTGCACATTAATTTTTTTTTGTCATTAAATTGAAACACGCTGGAGCAGCTTCGGAATCGTCGACGTATAGCGTGGAAAGTAATTACCTTTTTTCGCCCTGCCGCTCGGTCCGCGTTGGACTCGGGATGCGATGTACGGGGAAAAAAACATGTCTTCAGCGATTACTTAGATGACGTTTCGCAATGACCCAAGCTTTTTTTTTCAAGTTCGACCTCGATTGCTAGCGATATACCCCTGGGTTGGTCCTTCATTTTAGTGCTACAAGCAGTCCCGTGTTTTTTTCCGATCGATCTTTTCATTTTCATTCGTTCGTGTGACTGACGCGCCATCGAGAGACCACTCGCTTTATTTTGGACCACTTAAAAATAATAATCGGTTAGTTATATCGGAAATTGGTGAAATATTCTAATCCGTCAAAGCTAGTCGATAAAAAGATCGATTCGAATGTCGCGAATTTCGTTCTCTTTCGACGATTAATCAAATTATAGAGTCAGCTCGCGAGACCATAAAATTCAACGCAACAAACGAGCGAGCGCGTATATGATTGAATTGTGCTATTTTCAGCCTGCATGGCGAACCACGCAACGGAAAAGGTGATCGACCTGTGCCATGGAAGGAGGCATTGCTCGATAGCCGCCAACAGCTCGACTTTCGGCGATCCCTGCCGACCGGAAAGTCGCACCTATCTCAAAGTCGTGTACACTTGTGGTGAGTACATTTTTGATATTTACTTTAATTATAACGTCAATCGATACATCGTTTTATGCGTTTTTTCCGTACTAAAAACTATAAAGCTTAATTTTGGTTAGTTTAACAGCAGTATTAAATAATTTATTGACGTAAACAAGCAAAAAACTAGAATAATATTAAAACGTATGTGAATGTGAACTTCTCTATACATAATCCACGACGAAGAGTATGAGCTTGTTGATTCTCCTATCGTGAAGTTGAAGTAGCTTTGAAAAATGTCTTACAAAAGGTCGAGCAGAGTTTCAAGCAATAAAAAATGACTTCTCTCAATAACATTCTTTGAAGCAGAGATGCTGGAAATATATGAAGTGAAATAGAAAAGTCAATCACTTTGTCATAAAAGGATCAGCTTAGATATTGAAATTTAATTTTACCTACATTCACACTCGATATAATTAATGAAACAAAAAAAAAGAATGTAAATTAATCGAGCTCGAATAATCTTCTCTTTATTTCGATGTACGAATCGAATTCACAGTAGCTTATACGAAAAGATCCGTTGGCCAGCTCTCTTTGTGGCTGCAGAGGCTTCACTGCTAATGACCAGCATTTATGCACACGTGCTGGCTAGATAGCAAATGAATAATTATACTTGAAAGCTTCGTTTTCCCTCCCTCTCTCCCTCTCTCTATCGCTGGGAGCTTATCCGTGAGAGCTTGTGCGCGGCGGTTTGTACTCTTATATATATCACACAAACGTGGCCGGGGCAGGGAGCAATTGAAAATTTCGCTGTTATTCGTTCGAGAGCCAAGAATGCCGTACGGGTCGGCGCGGGGGGATGGGTAAAAGTATTTTCTCCTTTTCAGTTTACTGCCTCTGCGCAGTGTCCACTTGCTGGGCGCGCGCGCACGCCTCGTATAATATACCGCTCTCTTTTGTTTGCTCGCTATGAAAAGCCACGATTTATTATGATTGAAGTATCGGCCTGACGCGATTATAACTGCTGTTATAATGCATGCCTCTTGCTGTCTCGACGAGACAAAGCTCAGATTTCGCTCCTTTTAATTGCCCCTCCCGATTTTATTACAATCGCGTTGAATATCGAATGATTAAAAGAAAAAGGAGGGGAGACAAAATTACTTTCGATACAATAATGAATTATATAGGAGAAAAAATGGAATGTAAAATATCGAGCGAGCGTACATAGAAATCGAGCTAAGTACAAACTGCAAGCGCGCGCGCGAGGCTAGAGAATATTGGCTTTTGCCTGGGTGCGAATGAAATATTGAAAATATTAAAATTTTCCCACAGAAAAAGTCGAGAGAGAGAGAGAGAGAGAGAGGATGAGTACAAAAAAACAGGAGAAAGAAAGAGAGGAAATTTTATGAAAGGATCTTGGCTGCAAAGAAAATATGATATTGAAAGCTCGATCGCTCATCTCCATACATAGGTAGGGCCGATGCCTATATACAGATATGTAGATGCGCGCCCGCGTATATCGATATAACTGCACTAGCGCGCAAATATACGGCCGGCCTTTTTTCATAACAAAAAATGCTAATTTACTTTATGATCCCTTCGATATTCACGCGGTTGCGCGCGGCTCGCGCACCCCCTCGGCGTATTAATTCCGCGCGTTGAATTTCGCTGCGGCGTACAATACGGCCGACCCCCCCGGGAGAGAGAGAAAGAGAGTGCGAGGGAGAATCCGCGAATTACACTTGCAAAGTAAATGCACGAGGCAAGGCGAAGTACCGACTGGCCTATATACGACCACTACGTAGGAGCCATCAGCGACGACGACGACCCGACGAGCGGTAAAATTTTTCATGGCCAACGCGTTTGTCTTCCAAGGAGGATAAGAGCGACAGAAGAGGTGGAAACGTCATAAGCTCGGAGTTTCTCGCTCGCTCTCATCCCCTCCAAGATATAGATATCAAGTGGGTTAAGTGCCCTAGCGAGTTACAGACCAATAATTTCTCTCTCACTCTCTCTCTCTCTCTCTCTTCCTTGCTCTCATTCAGGCCAAAGCTTTGGCTGAATTGAAGCTTCAGAGAGGAAATTCCAGCCGACGCTGCACGAGAGAGCTTCGTGCAGCCCTATACTTTTATGCCTTGTAAAGCCTCGTTGCCTCTCGGAACCTCGGCGATATTACTGCTCGTGGGTGGGATTTGCTCTCGCGAAACATTTAACAAGTTATATGTTTAGAAAGGTTATTTTTCCATTGATCTCCCGGGCGTCTTCTGATTCTTATTTGTTTTACCGGCTGTCCAAGTTATTGGTATATAAACCACGTCGGAGATCAGCGCGCCTAATGACTTATACTTTTGGCCAAAGCCACTTGAGAACTTTGACGCTCACCACCACCGGTCGGGGCCATTTCCTGTTCTGGACGCTTTGCGGGCTCGCGCAGCTCTTTTGATCTTTCCGTAACGCGCGGCGCAACAACCACTGACCTGGAACAAGCGTATATACCGACTGTTATACATTCGCTGGCAAAATGTGCGCATAAAGCAGAATAAGACTAATTGATTTATTTGTCGGTGCAGGGGGGGGGGGGGGGGGGGGGNGGGAGGGGAAATCGATCGCTCAACGAAGCGCACGCGCACGAGGAAATCGTTAGGCAGCTCTCTGCCGACGAGATACCCGATCAGCTCTCGAGTCATATTTGCCCGTTTCGTACATAATAGCACACATTGCACTTGGAAATCAACGAACGAGAATACTGTCAAAAGTTTTGCAAGATGCCTCGGCTTAATTCATTGTATTAAGAACGTGCTTTTGCGTGGAGCTCTACAAATTTCTCCGCTCTCCGAATCTCAATTAAGCTCCACCTCACGGAATGAGTTAAATACTTCCTTCTCTTTCTGACTCAGGCTCTGTTCCTTAAATTCAATATATGTATATAGGCGAGAAATTAGTCCTAATTATCTCAAAATGGAGAGGAAGTCTTGTTTCGTATCCTCGAATCTTGGCATCTTTCGTTTTGCTTGTTGGGCACTAGCGCCAAAAAAGCCATTCAAACGTAGAGCCACGAGTGGAAAATCATTGAATTTCATTTCGTATATAACTCGGGAACCGTCGCAACATTATTACCCGGCAATGTTCGCGTGTAAACGTTATTTCCTTTATGCGCTTAGCTGAATGTATGCACCGTCTAGATTATCGTCATTCACTTCGAGGGTCTATTGTACAATGTTGTATTGGTTGGCGCAGAAAATTTGAAAAAATTCAAATTGACACACTTGCATTCGAGTTATTCTTGTCGGATGTAACCTCTACATCCAAGTAACGGTTAAGCTTTTGCTTTTTTATACAGCCTCACTTTTTTATATAACATCTTCACACGGAACGGGCGTAAATGGAAAAATAGAAAATCGACTGCACGGCCGAGTCTCAACTATACTCCATCGTATAAAATAGTTCATACATTCAGATTGATTGATGTTTTTCTACATGCATGTCCAAAGAAGAATTCGGAGTACAGCAATCGCTTTGCGATTCGTATAAAAAGTTGTCTGTGTGCGTGTGTGTGATATAAAGTAAAACATTCGTACGTATGTGTGTATACGTGTCTCATTTTGTCCAAGGCTTCGTCGTCGTGCAGAAAGAAAGCCAAACAAGCGAATATAACGCAATCTTCTCTTTGTTCGAGGCTATACCGAAAGCTGCCCTTTCCGTAACCCGTAACGAGACAGTTGACCTATTCTCTCTCTCTTCCACGGTCAAACCCCCTGCTGGATCAGCGTGTGTGTATATGTGTGCATGTAATACGGGTTTTGTGTGTTTGACATACTCGTTGTAAAAATACCAACGTTTCGCACACTCTGTGGTTGGCAAAGAGAATTTTTTTTATTTCCTCCTGGGTTACATTCATCCGTTTTTGTCGTGCAGTTTCGACTCCTTCTGTGTACTTAGCACATCATCCACATCTCTACTACTTGTGTCAATCTGATCAATAACATGTTCTAGTAAATGTTTCTCATTTACACATCATTTTCATGATATGATTTCTCGATCTTAGTATTTGCTCGACTCGGAGCTTATCTAATCCGCTTGGTTAGCTTGTATTCTCTTCTGTACATACATCAGCCAGACCACGAGTGTATAGGTTTCGATTGTGCGATACGCGTCTATATTCAGCGAGTTGAGCGCGTAACGTCGAGTGTGCAGAAAGAGGGAGAGAGAGAGAGAACGAGAGAGGGATACATAGTAGATACAGCTGTACCGCGACGCACGCACAGGCGCAAACGTATGCACATGAAACGAAGAGAATTTCCTATTCCGTCAGTCAGTGAGTACGATGCACTCATTCCTGCGTTATACGCGTCGAGGTGTGATTTGAGATTGCTTGTCAATCCGTTGGTATTATATAGGGCGCAGTCGTCGTCGTTGTGTGTTACGAAACGACTGTATTGAAAATATTCAGAACCAGACAGAAGGAAAAAAAAATGTTTATGCTGCGCTAGGATGTGCGGAGATGCACTGCACACACTGCATACTTTTACCATATAAAAATACATTTCGCTCGAGTTATAGATGTGCGTATTATATGCATGCCGCGCGTGCTTGACGATGCGCATCTTTTATACGACTGATAAATCATCCATTATCGGTTCGGATTGTTAGGCGTGTGCGTATGAACCGATTCGAGTCACATATAGTCTTTTAATTTGATTCTTCAAACTTGAGTAATTTAGAGTAATGCGTAATTTTCATCATTTGTCGGTGTCGGGGAGAATGAGAACCCATCCTCGATCGTACTCATTGTTTTTAGAAAGCATCAAAGCGTGTCTCTTATTTTTTTTTTTTCCCCTAATACAAGTAACGGGCTTTTATGGTGGTTGTATTGAAAGCTCCTCGATATACTCATTAAGCCGAGTTGAGCGTTACGGAAAGAGCTCTACAATACTAAAGCATTTAAATGCGACTCTCTACGTATAGAATACGTGTAATTTCGAGAATGTATACATAGACACGCGTGCATGCATTGGAAACTGGCCTGGCGCGGCTCTTTA